TCTGCTACAAACTAGAACAGTACCTGTGATAACTGCATCGGAAACCTCAACCTCGGGTTTGGCTGGAAGAGCATAACATTGGGGATGGGCCCTACCACCCTGAACTACATCTCTGGGATGGCCTGCTATTGGCTGGCCTCCACCCCTAGCGGCCTGAGCTCCACCTCTAATACCTCTACCTCCACCTCTATCACCTCTACCCAACCTCTAGCTGGCTGGGCGGGCTGTGGAACACTCGGTGCCTGAGCCATGGCACGGGAACCCTGATGCTGAGAGCTGCTCGATGCTCGAGGGCAATATCTAGCAATGTGCCTCATGTCGACACAAGTAAAACAAGCCCTCGACTGCTGGGGCTGACGAGCCTGGAAACTCTGAAGCGGCGGTGTACTGATAGGAGCTGGTGGTGCACTGTAGGTCTGCTGATCCGAATACTGCGTATGAGATCCACGTCCACCTGAAGCACCGTGAAAATCCTGAAGTGCTGACTGAAAAGGCCTAGGAGGATGGCCTCTACCATATGAATCTCTGCCTCCAGACGAGGTACTACTGAATTGGCCAGAATGACGAGGCCTCTTGTCAGACCCCTAACCACCTCCCTGCGATAGAACCATCTCCTGGCCACATTGGCCGCCTCTTGGAAAGAAATCTCACTCCTAGTCTCCTTGGCCATCTGATGTCGAATAGGCTGGATAAGTCCCTTAATGAACCTCCTCACCCTTTCTTTCTCAGTGGGAAGTATGATAAGAGCATAACGAGTCAAGTCAATGAATCTAGTCTCATACTGAGTAACAGTCATAGAACCCTGTTGGAGATGCTTAAACTGCCTCCGATAGGCCTCTCTCTGAGTAATAGGGAGAAACTTCTCCAGAAATAGCTGAGTAAACTGATCCCAAGTCAAAGCTGGTGATACGGCTGGCCTAGCTAAGCAATAATCTCTCCACCAAGTCTTGGCGGATCCAGACAAGCGAAAAGTAGCAAAATCGACCCCATTGGTCTCCACGATCCCCATATTCCTGAGAACCTCATGACAGCTGTCAAGATAATCCTGGAGATCCTCAGAAGATGCACTGCTGAAAGTAGTAGTGAAGAGCTTGGTGAACCTGCCCAACCTCCACAAAGCATTGGCAGACATAGCTGCTGCATCACCGGTCTGAGCTATCATACCCGGCTGAACTACTCCAACTGCCTGAACTGCTGGAGTATGGAACTGGGGAGCTACCTGCTCCAGAGTGCGAGTAGCAGGAGTCTGGGCTCCTCCTCCAGCCTGAGAGACAGCTGGGGCTACAGGAAGCAAGCTTGCCCAGATGACACTCTCCATAAGGCCCACTAGATGGACCAGAGCATCCTGGAGTACTGGGGTAGCAATAAACCCCTTTGGGACATGAGCTCTACCCCTACCTCGGCCTCTAGCACGACCTCGGCCTCGCCCTCTGCCCTTCGTGGGAGCTGCTGCTCAGTGGATGAGGAAGTGCGTGTTCTCTCTATCTGCGAAAGAATAGAGTAGAAATTCAATTAGCATTGAGAAACCAAATCGCACGACATGAAGGAATAAATGTGAAGTTTTTCCTAACTCTGTAGCCTCTAGGAGATAAATACAGACGTTTCCGTACCGATCCCTCAGACTCCACTAATCTTGTCTGTAAACTGTGAGACCCATGTAACCTAGAGCTCTAATACCAACTTGTCACGACTCGAATTTTTCACCCTCGAGAGCCGTGATGGCGCCTACTGGTGAAAGCCAGGCAAGCCAAATTATTCTAATTACTTAACCTTTTTCCAGTTTTAAACCATTATCAGTGATGAGTAGATATCATGCAAATAGCGAAAATAATTAAGCGGAAGACAAAATCTGATAATTAATCATAATACAAACTACGAAAGTCTAAATACAACTCTACCCAGAATTTGGTATCACAGCTTCACAGACGGTCTAAGAATACTACATACAAAGTCTAAAAGATAAAATACATATTGTTTCTGAAATGAGTAAAGGAAACAAGATAAAGGAAAGATAGGAGATGTCGCCAAGGCCCACGGATGCCTGCAGGACAACCTCGGGTTGCCTGTTGGACTGAAGGCAGTAATCTCACTGCGGTCCGAAGTCTACAACACTGGGATCTGCATAAAAGAGTGCAGAGTGCAGTATCAGCACAACCGACCCCATGTGCTGGTAAGTGTCTAGCCTAACCTCGGCGAAGTAGTGATGAGGCTAGGACCAGACTACCAAATAAACTTGTGTAGTTATATCATAAACAGCGGAAATAGAAGCAGATAATTGCCATTAAAATTAGGCAGGGGAAACATGCTTCGGGAAATAACAGATAACAACAGAATATCAAGAGAATATAAAGAAACAAAAATCCAATTACTAACATGGATAGGGAAAACAAATGTAGAGTTTACTTTTATTTCACATTTCGTTGCAGGCGTGCAACCAGATCCCATTTCATGTATCTCGTTGCAGGCGAGCAACCCGCTCCCATTTCGCATATCTCGTTGCAGGCGAGCAACCCGCTCCCATTTCGCATATCTCGTTGCAGGCGTGCAACCCGCTCCCATTTCACATATCTCGTTGTAGGCATGCAACCTGATCCCATTTCATATATCTCATTGCAGGCGTACAACCTGCTCCCATTTCACATATCTAGTTGCAGGCATGTAACCCGCTCCCATTTTACATATCTTGTTGCAGGCGTGCAACCCGCTCCCATTTCATATATTTCCGTTTCAGCGTGCCACCCTATCCCATTTACAAATCAACAATAATCACGAAAGAATTCCGGTAAGGGAACAATTATATTTCAACAACATCCCGACAAGGGAACAATAATATCAAGACAAACATCCCGGCAAGGGAACAATAATATGACAATAACATCATGGCAAGGGAACAATAATGATAATAACGTCCCGGCAAGGGAACAATAATGATAATAACATGTGAAGCGCAAAGAACTACAACGGAGTCATAACAATTACAATACAAGACTCATGGGCATGCTTGACACCGACGTATAGATACTCGGGACCATGCCTATACGTCGTACTCCACAATTAAAACTTAGCAAATAAGACACGACTCCTAATCCCTCAAGCTAAGGTTAGACCAAACACTTACCTCGATGCCACGAACATAATTCAAGCCTCTACTATCCCTTTACCTCATGAGTCCACCACCAATTCGCTCGTATCTAGCCATAAGTTACTTAATTACATCAATAAAGTATCTAGCCATAAGTTACTTAATTACATCAATAAATGCTAAATGAATCAATCCTAATACATGAAAAATGAGTTTTCTAAAGTTTTTCCCAAAAAGTCAAAAATTACCCTAGGCCCACATGGTCAAAACCCGGGTTCAAACCAAAATCCGATTACCCATTCCCCCACGAATCCAAATATATAATTTGTTTTGAAATCGGACCTCAAATCGAGGTCCAAATCCCCAATTTTTGAAAAACCTAGGATTTACCCAAAACACCCAGTTTTCCCCATGAAAATTATTGATTTTTAGTTGAAATTAAGTGAAAAGATGTTAAAGATTGAAGTATACTAGTTAAAATTGACTTATAATCGATTTGGAAGAAAAGTTGCCTTTGAAAAATTGCCCAAGAGTGTTTTGATTTTAAAAGAGTGTGAAAAATGAAAGATTTTCGGCTAAGTTATAAAATTGCAAGTCGTAGATATGGGAATTGCGACCAGGGTTCGCAATTGTGAACACAGACTTCTGCTAAGTTCGCATTTGCGAATGCAATGTCGCATTTGCGACTGAAGTCTCGCATTTGCGACCAAAGGGGATTTCAGGCAGTTGTCGCATTTGCGACAGTCACTTCGCATTTGCGAAGAAGGAAGCCCAGGTCATATCTCGTATTCGCGACACATTGCTCGCATTTGCGAGACAGGCTTCGCATCTGCAGGCTTGTAGCATACCAGCAATTCCCTAAGTTAAAATTTCACACCGTGGCCTATCCAAAACTCACCCGAGCCCTCGAGGCTCCAACCTAAACATGCACACCATCCTAAAAACATCATGTGGACTCGCTCGTGCATTCAAATTACTAAAATAACATTAACAACTATGAATTTAACATCAAAATCATGAAATTTCTCAAGAACTTCAAATTTTCTATTTTCCTCAAAAACGATCCGATTCACGTAGTTTCAAGTCCGTTTCATACCAAACTTCACAAACTTATCTTAAATCACATATAAGACATATACCGGGCGCCAGAACCAAAATACGGGCCCGATACCATCGAGTTTTCAACTCATTTCATTTCCAAAACTCAGAAATAATTTCAGAAAATTATTTTCTTTAAAAATTTATTACTCGGGCTTGGGACCTCGGAATTCGATTCCGGGCATACGCCCAAGTCCCATATTTTCCTACGGGCCCTCCGGGACCGTCAAATCACGGGTCTGATTTCGTTTATCTAAATTATTGACCGAAGTCAACTTAAATCCATTTTACAGTTAAAATTCATCATTTTTCACAGATTTTCACATAATGGCTTTCCGGATACACGTCCGGACTGCGCACGTAAATCGAGGTAATACCGAAAGAGGTTTTTAAGGCCTCGGAATGCAGAATTCATTTTAAAACAAGTGAAAGGTCATCACAGTTTCTCTAAAATTTTAAGGTTTAGTCTCAACTCTTATTTGAGCTAGTTTCATATGCATTTTCCCTAAAATATAGCTAACAACTAAATTGTATAAGACATAATATGACTGGCTAGTAATGAATACTGCAGTAGGAACTGTTTGTAAATCTGTCCCCATATAACTACTATATAAACCCAAAAAAATGGCGGAAAAAGAATGAGAATAGCACGCTGATAAATATATCGTCTTTGTTATATGTAAAGCTCACACTTGCAAAATTCATAATATCTTACATATATTCACCATTGGATGTACATCCATAGAAGGAGAGTGCATATATAATATATTCTTCAAACACAACATTATTTATTTCACACGCAGCTAGTTACAACTANATATATATATTATTACTTGAGAAGGTGACCCTCTATATCTCTGGTGACATGTAGGGCATAACCCAAGAAAACGAGAGGTTCTGGAGTGTTTTCAGTTTTCTTCTCGTACACAAATGTCCATGTAGTCCATTGATGGTCATGGGATGAGATCATAGTGAAGGAATTGTACAACTCTAACAGATCTCCTCCAATCACTTTCCAAGTGATTGATTTATTCTGATGATCCACAGCTTCAATCACCTGCTTACATATCTTATCGTTTCCATCTATAATCAATAAAGTTGGAAAACACAGATGTTAGTCGATGTTCAATTGTCTAGTTCCTCATATAAAAGATATAAACATCCGGAATAACATATTTTCTTCCTTTGTTTTTCATTTTCATTTTCTCCAAAATTTATTTGAAGCTCACAAAGATTGGACGTGCTATATTTTTCCTGAATAAAATTATCATTAAAAATCTCAAAAGAGCAGTTGGCATTGTGGAAAACATTGAATTAGTAGGGGAAAACAAGCTTAAAATTGATTATATTGAGTTTGGTATGATAAGGAATTTTCCTTGAGAAATATTTTTTTTAAAAATATATTTGGTAAAAAAATTCAATGCTTGGTAATTGGTGAGTGAAAAATATTTCATGTATATATTATATTGAATGCTAGTAATAATATTAGCAAATAGAGTGTTAATAAGTTTTTGAGTATTATCAATAATATGTCTAACTGTTAGTTGGATCAAGTAATATGAAGTCAAACATTAAGATAGTTATTAGAAAAGTGACTTTCCCATTTTGATGCAAATCATTTTATGGTAACCAAAAACATCATCAAATAATGTTTTCATGAAAACTTTTTTTATTGAATAAAGACTTTTTGACATATTAAATACACTCAAATGCAAAAACTGATACAAGTAAATAATATATATGTATAGAGAGAAAAAATATGAATTACATACCGTCATTATATTTCCAGCTAACAATCGAACCAACTTTTACGGTTTCACCTTCATCAATATCAAATTTGTGAACCTTACCAGGACTTATGTTGGATATATGATGAGTATTGGTATGAAAAATGTCATGAATCAGGTGTCCTCCACACTTCACCTCTACTGAAGCAATCAACTTCCCTTTCACACCCATATTTTCTTCGATATAGAAGAAAACTTGAGAAAAGGAAGCGGTGAGAAAAAGTTGAGAGGCTGTAGTCTTTATATAGATTATGTTCTTAGTTATTATTATTAAATATATTATGTTCTAGTTAGCTGCATGAAAAGCTAGTATAAAACATGATCCATGACAACTCATGTTTTTTATTAGTGGAGGTGGAAGATAAATGTCAGCTCATCGCGTGTACTATTAGATCATCGCCATAAAATTCTAACCATTTGGCTTATTTTCAAAAGGGAAAAGGTCTAAACTTTCCCCTAATGTATTCGATTGAGATTGGATTTATCTTCCATTAAAAAAGTAGCCTATTCGTACAAATTACCCTGCCAATATATAAATAGTTCAAATTTACCCTTCTCGGCTAATGATTGTGAATTATCCAAATTAAATGCCACCTGAAATTTTTTATTAACTCCTAATCTAACTAGAGGGTGTTTGGCTAAGCTTATAAGCTGATCAAACTAGCTTATAAACACTTTTCAACTTATTTACGCGTTTGGTAAGTTAAAAGTGCTTATAAGTAAAAAAATAAGCCAAAAGCCATAAGCTGGTCACCCCATCTTATGAATTTTTAGCTTATTAGCACTTTAAGTTTGACCAAGATTTTTACTATTTTATCCTTAAAATATTCCTCTTTAGAACAAAACTCCTACATCGGTACTCACTGCCTCAAGTATTTTTTCAACCTAAACCCCCTCCCCCCTCCCCTTTTCCACCCCGCCTCTTCAAGTTTGCAATTCTCATTGACTATTTAATATAAGCAAATTCTCTATTCCTTTGCGTATTTGTATTTATGTGATTGCTTATTAATTTTTGAACTATATGTAATAAATGAGGACATATTAAATTTTTGATGTATTGCTTTCTAAGTGTTGTGGTGATGAAGACATTGTTTGTTTCTCTTCAAATATTTTGTCCTATTTAGGTTTATTTTTTATTGAGAAACTTTGTCAATTTATTAATTATTATAACTTATGATTATATGCTTATCATAAAAATTATCTTATCTAAGCAAGGTTGTATTTAAAATAAAATGACAATAGAATATTTTGTATTTGAATCGATCTGGAATCTAAAATTTTGAAGAAATTACACCATTATAAGTGTAAACTATTCTAAGGTTATTTAAGTCATCTTAACAGAAAAAGAGCTTATCAACACTTTTTAATTAAATACTGCATCAACTTATTATCAATTTCAGCACTTGTATCCAAACACGTAATTGCTTATTTAATAAATCAGTTTTAGCACTTAAAAGTGCTTTTCAACACATAATACTTATGAGCTATTTCAAATGAGCTAATCCAAACGGGCTCCTAGTAGACCCTCCTCCTTTTCTATCGGTAGCAACGTCAAAAAGACCATGTTCTCATCAGCCGTCGGAGTTATATTTCTAGGTCGCGACCAACAAAATCAAGGCCGTCGTCAGTCAAAATATTTTCAATGATGGGGATCTCCTTTTTTTTGGATCTGATAAAGGGCTTCATGGGGTGAAGAAGATGTGAAACTGTGGCAAAGAAGATAAAGATGATAAAGTATCAAGGGGTTGTCAGAGTTCACCTATGAGATTTAGTATTTTTTTTAATGGTGTTTTGATTTTAACGGCAGTTGAAAGTTTGTGAGAAGTAAATTGAGACAAGGAAGAGGTCCACATTTGCCATGGGAAAATGAAGAGAAAGAGGAAGGAAGAAGGAGGTCCCAACCGACAAATTTTCCAGTAAGGTTCAAGATGGTGCTCCCATGGTTGTTGCCCAATTGTTGTATACGTGAGGTGCAAATGTATTTGTGTAAGAATAAGAGTGAAGAGAGTAAGGAAAAAGGGGCGGCTATGAGTTAAAAACTGAGAGAGGGCCCGGTGCATTAAGTGTCACGATCCAAATTTCTCATCGTCGGAATCGTGATGCCGCCTAACATCGCACTGACTAGGCAAGCCAGCGTTAGAGTTTTATTCACCTTTTTCCTTTACTTTTTATAATTAAAATTTAGCAGAAACTAAATCAACGGAAATAAAAGCGGAAGTACATATTTAATTGATTATCCTTATACTATTAACAAAATCGAACGGTTACAACCCAGAAACTAGTGTCACAACTACGAACATTCTATGAATAACTACAAGCATGGGTTTGAAAGAAAATACATCTGTCTCGAAGAAAGTAAAATAGAAATGAGAAAAATATAGGAGGGGACGCTAGGGCCTGCGGATGCCTGCAGGACTACCTTGGGTCTCCTGGATGAATGCCTGCAACCGACCTTTTGATCATTCACAACCAGCTTCGAAATCTGCACAGAAAGTTCAGAGTGCAGTATCAGTACAACCGACCACATGTACTAGTAAGTGCCGAGCCTAACCTCGACGAGGTAGTGACGAGGCTAAGGCTGAGCTTATACAATATAACCTGCAATAGTATATGATAAAATAAAAGGAAATACGGAACGAATTGAAACACTAACTTGCAGCAAAGTAAATATGGAACCCAGATATTTTGCCAGTACTCAGCTATAACCTATCCTAAAGAGAGTTACAATGTTGCGGAATAAAATCACATCAGAGGAAGAATACATAAACAACAAAATGATGCGTCACACATCCTGATCCCACCACATAACAAGTAACAATATGAACATTTACCCTTATTACTCCTTATTGTGGTATACAACCTGATCCTACCAGTCCACCCTTATTACTCCACAATATATCACCCTTATTCCTCCTATTGCGGCGTACAACCCGATCCTACCTATCCACTCTTATTACTCCTTGTTGCGGCGCGTAACTCGATCCCACCAAACAATCACATTTCACCCTTATTCCTCCTGTTGCGGCGTGCAACCCGATCCCACCATATCAGTACCAATCACAAAATAAGAACAAGCATTTCACTATTTAACTCCAAACCCTCCATGACATTTATATCTCAAATCAAAATAACTGGAAATCTATACAATTATGAAACTTCATCAGTTAGTACTACACAGCGAGACCAACCAAAGTGTACCATGAAACACCAATAAACCAACTTAAACCAACAATGTAATATAATGAAACTACAGAACAATTAATACCTTCAATAAAGAAAACAACATTTAAGAAGAAGCAATTAGACATGGAAACATCAATACACAAGTAACAGTTAAAACAGGAAAATAATATATTAGGAACGGGGAAGGGAATAGGCCAAACAGATAATTTGGCGGTGTATAGGTACTCGTCACCACACCTATACGCCACACACATGGAATTTTACATAGAAATTAAGTCGGGGATCCCTAATCCCTAGAGTCAAGGTTAGACCAAACACTTACCTCAAGCCAATGGGTAATTCAAAGCTCAGTTACAGCTTTCCCTCTCGATTACATCTCCAATCAACTCGTATCTAGTCATAATTAACTTAATAACAACATTTATCGCTAAAGAAATCAATTCCAATGCATAATTATATGTTTCCCAACATTTCCCCCAAAAAGTCAAAAATCGACCCCGGGCCCACTTGGTCAAAACCCGAAATTTGAATCAAAACCCGATTACCCACCCCCGAGCCTGGATATACAATTGTTTTTGGAATCCGACCTCAATTTGAGGTTTAAATCCCCAAATTTCGAAATTCCTAAGTTCTACCCAAAAATCCCCAATTCCACCATGAAAACCCTAGATTCTAGGATGAAATCTTGTGAAAAGAAGTAAAAGATTGAAAGAAATAAGTTAAGAATCATTTACCTATGATTTGGGGAAGAACTAGCCTTTAGAAAATCGCCTCTTGAAGTTTTAGTTTTGAAAAAAGGGAGAATGAATGAAAAATCCCGTCTAAGTATAAAGTTATTAGCTGCAGATGTCGCATTTGCGACCTTAGCTTTGCAAATGGGAAGCTCGCAATTGCGAAGGGACTATCGCAATTGCAAAGACTTCACAATCCTACTGCCATCGCAAATGCAAAGAAAGTGTCGCATTTGCAAACAGTGTTCCTCGCAAATGCGAGAAATAGATCCCATTTGCGATCGTACCACTCCCAATCTCCCTTCGCATTTGCAAAGGATTGTTCGCATTTGCGAACTCTGCTGGCCCAGCCTTCTAATCGCAATTGCGATGAAAGGCTCGTAAATGTGGACCCTATAGGGCTCGCAATTGCGATGCCTGATCTCGCAATTGCGAGATCAGGGGCCTGCAACAAGCTGAAGCATGCTAGCAATATCCTCTAAGTTCCAAATCACTCTGTGGCCTATCCAAAATCACCCGAGCCCTCGGGGCTCCAAACCAAATATTCACACAAGTCTTAAAATATCATACAAACTTACTCGTGCGATCAAATTGCTAAAATAGCATCTAAAACTACGAAATTAACACCAAAACACATGAGATTATCAAGATAGTTCAAAACTTTTATTTTCTCAACCCAAGGCCCGAATCACGTCAAATAAACTCCGTTTTTCACCAAATTTCACAGACATGACTTAAATATCATATTAAACCTATACCGGGCTCCGGAACCAAAATACGGGTATGATACCGATGAGAACGCAACATTAATCAATTTTTTTAAATCCTTATTATTCCAGTTTAACAATTTCATCAAAAAATTATTCCTTGGGCTAGGGACCTCGAAATTTGATTCCGGGCATACGTCCAGGTCCCATATTTTACTACGAATCCTCCGAGACCGTTGAAATACAGGTCCGGGTCCGTTTACTCAAAATGTTCACCAAAGTCAACTAAAATCAACTTTTAAAGACAAAAATTATTATTTTCTCAAATTTCCACATAAAGGGTTTTTGGAATCGCGCCCGGACTACACGCGTAAATTGAGGAGAGATAAAAAATGATTTTAATGCCTCAAAATGCGGATTGGAGTTCTAAAACAGAAGATGACCTTTTGGATAATCACATTCTCCACCTCTAAAATAACCATTCGTCTTCGAATGGACATAGAAAAGTACTTGAGTCGGTGAAAAGATGGGGATATCTGTTCCGCATATCAGACTCAGACTCCTAGGTAGCTGCATCAACAGGCTGACCTCTCCACTG